AATTCCTTCGGCAATTGTTTTGCGTTTAACATAGAACGAACCATATTCATGATTGTCCTATTTTTACGTTCGGCTACACCGTTCTGTTGTGGTGTATATGCTGTTGTAAACTGGCGATTATATTAATCCCATGCTCATTACAAAACTCCGTTAACTCCTTTGAGTTGAATTCTCCACCCCTATCCGTCCTCAGACATCTGATTCTAGTTCCTGCTTCTTTCTCAATCAGAGTCTTGAAATCCTTGAATTTATTGAATGTTTCTGATTTCTCATTCAACAAATAAATCCAAGTTTTCCGAGAAAAGTCATCTATAAAACTCAGAAAATATCTTTTTGCACTACTGGAAATAGGACTTACAGGCCCACATATGTCTGAGTGTATGAGTTGTAGCTTTTCTGTTGCTCTCCAGGAAGACTTCTTTGGAATGACTTCTCGATGTTGTTTTCCTATCAGACAATGGCTACACAWCTTTTGTGGAGTCTTTATTGCCGGCATTCCTTCAACCATTCCATTGTAGACTAGAGTTCTGAGTGCTTTGTAGTGCAGRTGACCGAATCGAGAATGCCACAACTGTGACTCATCTTCTACCCGAGTCTGATAACACGTAGGTGTCTTGGATGCCATGGCTGCTTTGAAGTAAAACATCCGGTTCCCGCTCATTTCAGATTGCATGATCARTCCTCTTCTTGAGTGAAATACTTTACATAYGTTATCTTTAATTAAAATGGTCAATCCTTTCTCCTGTATTTGACCAACACTGAGAAGATTAGATTTAAGCTCCGGAACATAATACACATCGGTTATTACCTGAGTCACACCATTGACTTTCATGCGAATATTTCCTTTTCCGGTCACGGTAAGTCGACTGTCGTTTCCTAACTTCACAGTGTTTTTGAAATTCTTATTCAAATCTGTGAACCATTCTTCGTTGCCACTCATATGGTTACTACACCCTGAATCCAAGAACCAAAACTCCTCAATTGAACTACCTTGATGTTCAATATATGCCATAAGCATAAGCTCCTCCTCTTCATCCATTTCTGCAAAGTTGGCCCTTCTTCCCCACTCTGGACACTCGAATTGAAAATGTCCCAGTCTGTGACATCTATAGCACTCCACGACAGCCTTTCCTGGTGAAGATCTCCCTCTTCCTCGACCTTTATAGCTTCCACTTGCATTTCGACCTCGACCTCTTCCGAATCCTTCTTCCCGAGTCACCTTCAGCACATGTTCTTCTTCCTTAACCTTCTTCCTGAATTTTTGTTCATGAACCACCAACGAACTTTGAAGCTCATCAACGGAGAGACTAGCGATGTCTTTGGACTCTTCAATGGACACCACGATGTAGTTAAACTTCTTCGTGAGAGTTCTCAAAATCTTTTCTACAATCTGTGATTCCCGCATTACTTCTCCATTGTTGCTCATGTTGTTTACCACCAACATTACTCTCGAGAAGTAATCGGTTATAGTTTCTCCATCCTTCATCTCTAATACTTCGAATTCTCTTCTGAGGGCTTGTAGTTGAGCTCTCTTTACCTTTGCATTACCTTGGTATTTCTTCTTCAGAGACTCCCAAAGTTGTGCAGAGGTCTCCTTCTGCAGAATAGTCCTCAGAACATTCTTATCGATTGCTGAAAAAAGAGAGTTTTTCACCTTTAAATCTTTCAGCTTCAACTGCTCTCGTGCAGTCTTCTCCGCCTCTGTCTCTCTTACGCCTGCCGCCGGCTCAACGTAGTCAGGCTCAATCAGGTGCCACCATTCTTTCGACCGAAGGAGATTTTCCATCAACAATCTCCAATGATCATAATCGCCGTCAAATTTCGGAATGCTTAGCAGGTTCTGTCCTTCGACATGCCTGGTTACTCTCTGTATCGGATCGAATAAGTTGTTGTGTTTGCGCTCACACTCGTGTTTGCCTCACAATGTCACTCGTGTTTGTCTACTTTCAGAAATCAGGGCCCTGGATGGCGCCCTGATACCAATTGTAGAGTAGTATTACTTCAACATGAAACAAATATGAACACAACAAACTTATAGAGAAGCCAACAATGTTTTCTCTTATTCGAATCAACAGCAACTACAGGCTTTTATAGCCAAAACAGAGAGAGAAAGCTACAAATAAAAAGGCTAAAAAATAGGAATAAACAAAGAACAAATCAAAGCCTATCTAAGTAGACGTGGCCCTCCAGAATAGGTCTTTATTGTTGAGAGCATAAAAGACTTGGTACTTTGCTGAATCATCTGCATAGCACAAAGTCCAACAGATTTCCTTCACAAGTTTTCCTTCAATGCATCTATTTTTTTTTGGAGTATATAACATTTATAGATGCAAAAAATAAAATCACACACCCTTCTCACCTTTGGTGAGGTTTGAACCCCTGACCTTCTAGGAGGCCAAAGGCTACGATACCGCTAGGCCAAAGGCCTTTTGGTAATGCATCTATTTCTTCTTGTTCATAATGTCTTCCAGTTGACTATTAGGATTGCCGTCCTTTCTTTACTTGAGAACTTCATGAATAGAATAGAGTGTAATCAAATTGAGCTTGATTGTAACCTTGTTTCACAAATTGAGTGAACCAGTCAAACTAGGCTTGAGGTGACTGCTCAAGTTCATAGAGCGATTTCTTGAGATTGTAGGTTTTTGAACCAAATCTGCCTTCCGGAGTTGGGCTCATAGATACCTCTTCATCTAACTTTCAATTTAAGAAAGCACTCTTCACTACAAATTGTCTCGGCGGTCAATCTAATATAGCCGCAATTAACAACAGGATTCTCACGGCGTTAAGTTTTGCAACTGGGGTGAAAGTCTTTGTATAGTCAATCCCATACATTTGTGCAACCAATCTTGCCTTGTAATGCTCAAGATCACTCAAGTTTGTAGAGCGATTTCTCGAGCTTGTAGGTTTTTGAACCAAATCTGCCTTTCGGAGTTGGGCTCATAGATACCTCTTCTTGTAACTTTCAATTTAAGAAAGCACTCTTCACTACAAATTGTCTCGGCGGCTATGCTGTTAATATCGCGATATATCGTCGATATATCGGCGATATATCGGATATCGCTCCTAGAGAAAATATCGGTCCATAAATATCGGTCAAAATATCGTCCCCGATATTATCGGCGATATATTCCGATTTTTCCTGATTTTTAGCGATATTTTGATGCAAATATCGGACCGATATATCGATTTTTTAGGGTTTAAATATTTGGGCTTTTGTTACTTCATGGGCCTAGTTTTTTGGGCTTGGTAACTTAAATTAGGTCTGAAATTGATCTGCCTCCACAACGGTCTTCTTCTTTCTTTTATATTAGCTCGTTTTTTAACACTTTAGATGATGTGATGTTTTAATTTTGAAACTATATTTCTAAACTCTAATTAATGCATATTATATATATATAATTCTAAGAAATATTATGTTAACCGCTATTTTGGACCGATATATCACCGATATATCGAATATCGGTCCTGACCGATATTTCGTATTCTGACCGATATAACAACATAGCTCGGCGGTCAATCTAATTTAGCCGCAATTAACAGGATTCTCACGGCGTTAAGTTTTCCAACTGGGGTGAAAGTCTTTGTATAGTCAATCCCATACATTTCTGCAACCAGTCTTGCCTTGTAATGCTCAAGATCACCATCGACTTCAAATTTTGGTTTAAACACCCATCTGCATCCAACAATAGGTTTACCATTTAGCCGCTCTTCAACTTCCAAGTCTGAAGGGGTTGTTTGTTTACCTCTTAATAGTTTCATCAAGAGACAACATCTGAATCATTAAGAGGTGAATCTTGTTTGGCAAAAAAGAGGTCCGTCTCTTAATGGTTCTAAAACCCTCTGAATGATTCTGGGCCTCCCTTAACCATTCAGCTCCTCAATTTCATTTTAAACAATTACCAAACACTTATATTTCATTTTGTACTATATCATGAGAGCCTCTTAATCATTTTGACCACTTAATCATTTTGCACCAAACCATTCAACAACTGCCAAACAACTTTTCAAGTGCCTCTGTCTCTTCTAGAACAATTTTCATTCATTCTGGTTTAAATGGTGCTTTCTGTATACTTTTAGGAATGGAAACACAAGACACATCTATGGTAAAGGTTGAGAAACAAGAAGACAATCGAGAATGTAAAACAAATTTTGATGCAAGATATTTGTCACATGATCGTTTTTTTTAAGAGCTATAGGTAATTCAAGAATCAAGATCAATAGAAGACTTACTGTGTTCAGTGACTGTCTCTCTGGTTCGGATTCTTGGTTAGCAAGAGAATCATTGATTATCTCTACTCCTTGAGTCTGAAACTTTGACTTGTACACTAGGCCATATTGAACATCTGCTTGATGTTCATTTCTTTTTCCATTGCTTCATATGATGTATTTGTTCCATTTTAATGTTTTCGGTTTTGGTACAAGCTTGTTCTAATTATTTTCTAGATTTCTGATCGTATTCTAATATATTATAATTAACACATAATTTTTTTTTGGATAAAGGATGGAAATCTTTTTTTTGAGTAAAGATCGAAATCTATTTTTGGGTTTGATGAGAATGGCAAAGGAGGTTATGATTTTCTTGATTGTAATTAGGCTTTGATACCATGTAGGTTTGATGAAATCAAATTGTATGTATATTCTGCCCTCGGTGGCTTCTTAAAACTTCACAAGAATACCACATAATCTAACTAATAAAGCATAAAAACAGGGACTAACAAAGCTAACAACTTATAATATAATATTTACACTAGTTAATCCTAATCATGTCATAATTTCTATATTTTTGTATCTTCTGATATAATTTTTTTATGTTCTAGTAAGCAGCTTTTACTCTATTAACAAAAGGATTAATTCTGAGCATCTTTTGTCAATTGGGTAGGCTCTTGATGCTGAGGGCATGGACATGGAAATTGATTTATCAAACCTTGGAACTGTGAACACAATGTTTGCAGCATTGTTCAGGTAATTTTTGTAAAAAAAATCTACATATTCTGAATTCACTTTGGCTCAAATAGTCATTTTTTTTTCTATTTCTTTTTTTCTTTTTAAGTAAGCTTGGAGTTCCTATTAAGACAACTATTTCAGCCAATGTTCTCGAGGAAGCTTTAAATGGAACCGTCACAGTCAGACCCCTTCCGATAGGAACGTCAGTTAGCGGAAAGGTGTGTATCTGAGTGTTCCTATTAAGACAACTATTTAGCAACTTTGCTACCTTAACGAAGCTAAATTGCAGGTGGAGAAACAATGTGCACATTTTTTTGGTGTTACGATAAGTGAAGAACAAGCTCAAGCGGGGATTGTTGTTAGAGTTACTTCAGCTGCACAAAGCAAATTTAAGGTACGTAGAACTTTTGAAATGTTTATCTCATGTTTCGAAGACCAAACCCTCTTGCAAATGCTATTATATTGTTTAGTAAAATATTAATCTTAAGTGTAAATCTTACATTGCAGCTACTTTATTTTGAGCAAGATAATGGAGGGGGATATAGTCTGGCGTTACAGGTACTTCTGTTTTTCTTTATGTAATTTGGTTGTTTCAGTTTTTTTAAATAATCCCACGATAAAGTTTAATGATCACTTTATGCTGCAATTACAAATGGGACTAGGAATAGAACTTTCAAAAACGGGAAATTTCTCTGCAATGCTGAGTTCCAATGAACTATTCCTGACCATCAATAAAGATGAAAAACAACTTTCTTTACCTTCTTTCTCTTCTTTTCTCTATTTTAGCTTACAATTTAGCATAGCTGTTTGAACAAAAAAACTCCAAAATCTCTACTTTGGCATAGCTGTTGGAGATGCTCTCAAATATTTGTGGGCACAACTAAATCTCTACTTTAGCATAGCTTCGTGCTGGTATGAGACTCATCATCTGATCTAATTCATTTCTTTTGGAATCCATGTGCTTCAAAACTCTACTTCAAGGATTTGATATGTGATTATATATGCCTGTTAAGGTTATACTTCTATAGAGACTATCTAACTTGCAGCATTAAATTTTTGTAATCTTAATTTAAGATATAGCTGAAATATTTAGAATTTCCTTTAAGGTGAAATTATTAGGGCCTTTTAAGAAAACATAATGCAGTGAACGATGAGAATGCCTTGTCTTGTTATGATGTTCGGCTTCCAACCTACGGCTTGTAATCAGAACTCCACATTTATCCAAAAGCAAACAATTATACAATCTTTTTTGAATTGAGAAAGAATTTAGTACGATTGATGATGAATTTAGAAGTTACGTAATATGGATGTTCTCTGTAGGGCTGTTCCTGGGGGAGGGCGGGCCGGGCACATGTCTAGATCCTGCTAGAAATCGGGGCCTGAAATCTTTTAGTATATATCCCTCTATCTCAAAATAAATGTCCCAAAATAGTTGTCTACTTTCAAAAATAGATAACTAAATTTCTAATTCTATCCTTAATTAATAGACAAATATTTAAGAGTTGACAAGATAGATAAATAATTAAGGTAACATTATCATTTGGTTAACTAAAAATTGTAATAAGTAATAACTATGTATGTCTAAAAATGTGCCGTTCTCATTTTTGGGACAAAAGGGGGTTAAGAAAAGAATTTGGTGTATGTTAAGGTCTCAAATATGTACTAAATAGTTATATTGGAGAAGAAAATATGTAAAAGTTAAATGGTCATTCGTTTTATGGCATTGCTTATTGCTTCTCTAAGTCTTTTATCGTATACCAAGATAGACGACTATTGACTATTGCTATCTCTATTTGCTTGACTACTTCAACAATCTTTAAACTTTTACCTTTAAACTCACGAGTTTGCTAATGATATATGCTTCTGTTAGCAATTGTTATCTACTGCTTTTATTGGCTATGAAAATTCATACCTTTTGAAATAATTACCAACCATAGTAGACAGTGCAACGTATATTTATAGCATTTTGAAAACTACCGTTATTTTTTCATACATTATTGACTTCTAATTACCTAATATTGAGTGCCTGAATCTTAAGTATTCTCTTGTCTATATAAAACAATAATAAGATCTCATACTATAACCAACATGGGCTTTTGATTCTGAGATTTGGTTTTAAAAAGGTTCTTTTTAACCCTAAAAGTTTAAAACAGTGATTAAAACATTAACATGAGATGAGATGGAAAAAGAACTAATTGATATCGTCTCACATAGAGTGTTACTCTGAACGGTTAACGTCATGACCACAAATGATGTCAATCTATGGATTGACATTGCTATGAATTACAAAAGATATGCTAGATAATATTAATTTAGAAACGAATATTGATTGTATATGAATTATTGGTATTTTAGAATTCCATTTTATTTATGATAATGAAAACAATTTATTAAAGACTTTTTCATACTTATAGAATGTCAGGAACGGGCTTGGTTTTGTTGATAATGTTTTCAAGAGAGTATATATGACATGCCATTCTGCTCAAGTCAAGTATGCTGTTAAATAGTGTTAGTTTAGGATCATCATTCATTTGTTTAATTAATTTATGACTCAGCTTGTCATCTCGTGCAGGAAGATAGTGAGAAGGCTGGTAAGGTGACAGCCGCGGGGATGTATTTCTTGCATTTTCAAGTATACAGAATGGATTCAACTGTCAATGCCGTAAGCATCAACCAACTCTTTAACCGTTGATGTTTTCATTTTGGGTGAGATTAATTTGGTGATCATCATGCAGTTAGCAATGGCCAAGGATCCTGAAGCTGCTTTCTTTAAAAAGTTGGAAGGTCTTCAACCATGCGAGGTCTCAGAGCTAAAATCTGGCACTCACATATTTGCCGTTTACGGTTGGAAACTCTACGTTTTATGCTTCATTCTTTCTTGGGTTTTGGAATGCTGTTAAAACGAGATAGATTTTTATGCAGAATTTGCTCCCTTCTTTTCTTGCAGGAGATAACTTTTTCAAAACAGCATCTTATACGATAGAGGCTGTTTGTGCCACCACATACGAGGATACGACACTTAAGCTCAAGGATATTGAGCAGCAGATTTTGAGAAAGAGAACCGAGCTACGTCAGTTTGAGACAGAATACAGACAGGTATCTGTTTGGATGGTTTTGCATTAAGCTGTTTGGTTGGTATTGTATTAAGTTGCTAACAAACAGACCCTAAGTCCTGCATGGATAAAGCTGTCTGAGTGGATTAATCTGTCTATATAGATTGGGATGGTTTTTGTATAGATGGAAGGAGCATGTTTTTTAATTGGGAGGGGAGGTTTGGAAAAAACTTGGCTTTCTGCATAAAGTTCTTCCTTAGAAGCTTTTTGAATAAGCCATTTTCTATATCATCAAACCACTTCTAAACAGTCATTTATAGCTGACCGAATAAGCTGCGAGTCCCATTAAGCTCATTAAGCTGCTAACAAACATGCCCTTAGTTCAATAAAAGCTTTCATTTATTGTCTAAAGATTCTTTGGACATAGCAAGGGACCAAGATCAAGAGTTTGTAATCACAATGCACAAATATAAGAAAGTTTAGGTTCATTTGGCAAGAAAGAAACTATGAAAGCTTCATTTTTATAATCATCTGGTTCATTTGATCTTCTGCAGGCTTTGGCAAGATTTCAAGAAGTCACCAACAGATACAGCCAAGAAAAGCAGAACGTATGTTCTTTTTCGCATGCTTATTAAGACTTAATTACCAAAAATACATGTTCTATACAAGTCTTTTCCCGATTGCACAAAATCTATTCCATTGAATGTTTTTATTATAAGTTTGGCCAAAAATCTGATCCTGATGTTAAAAATCATATTACAGGTGGATGAGCTTTTAAAACAACGAGACAGTATCCAATCATCGTTCACGGTTGGTAGGTCTATGGTTGTAGGTGGTGGTGGTGGTGGTGGTCAAGTGAGTAATGGAGGAGGAGGCGGCGGCAATGGCAAAGTTTCCGGTGAAGGTGAAAGTAGCAGCAGTCCAGGGGCAGGTGAAGAAGGAAGCTCTGATAGTAAGGCTAAGAAGAAATGGTTCAACCTTAACCTCAAAGGTGGCGGTGGTTCGTCTGATAAAAAGTCCGGTTGATCATCGGGTTCGATACTGTTAACGATGGCCTTATTTCATGAACCGATACATTTTATTATTATTATTATTCATGGTTTTTTTGCTGCTTTTATATGGGGTTGTTCTTGTTCATAATGGGTTGTTAATCAGATCAAAATTGCTTAAAAAGATTTGGATGTTTAAGTAATTAATTAATTATTTTTATGACCTTTTCATTATTATTTATTATAAATATATATTCTTTGTATTGAATGTTTTTTTGGTTATGATTTGTGTTTTTCTATCGTATAATTTGTAACGTAGAAATCTGTAACAAGTGTAGAGGTACTCTCATGATACATGTACTAACAGTATTTTTGCAGTGTCCTGCCTAACGATGCCAACGTCCCAACATGTGATCTTGCACACACTTGGCGAAAATATTTTTCATGCCCGACTTATTTTTATGATACCGTAACGCGTATGTCATTAATTAAAACTTAGAAACCAATATACTGTTACATGCTTTACAAAAATACTAAAAGCAATACATGTGTTTCTCATTTGGAAATCACATGAAACTCATCTCAGGCGCAAACCATAATGAGCACTTGTACAAATCATAAAACACAAACACTTATTTCATTTTTCGTCTTATAAGATTAACAAAGTTGTTTTTTGGTCTCTTTGTCAGTGAAGGTGAGTTCAGGTAAGACGCCTAACTCAGCTCGCCAACTCTAGCCTACGTGACTTCTTCGATGATTTCGAACTTTCGTCCCGTGGCATACAAGACTTCCCTAGGCGTTATGGGTTGCCTTCATGTTGTCTGATAAATACCACTAAAAATAACTAAAAGAATAAAAATAAAAAGATTATTTTAATTAAAAATAGAGTAAATTATGTTTTTAGTCCCTGTGGTTTATTGAGAATTTCTAATTTTGTCCTTATGATTTCAAAATTTCAACTTTCATTCTTATGGTTTACAATGCATTATCTTTTTCGTTCTTATGATTTAATATTTATTGCTTTTCCCATCTTTATGGTTTACAATTTATTTATATTTTAATCTTTCATACTTAGAAATATTGTTTTGGCCTCAAGGACAAACATAAAAATAAATTGTAAACTATACGGATGAAAATTAAAATTTCAAAACCACAAGGACTAAATTCGCAATTTCTAACAAACCACAGGGACTAAAAACGTAATTTACCCTTAAAAATAAAAGCAGAATTAATTTTAAAATCTCGGAAAGTTGAAGAGACGTAGTTGACTCAAATTGCAAAAACCATTTTGACTTAAAAAAGACGAGGTTTTTGCGGAGTATCACTTAACTAAATTCCAGAATTTAGTGGTAGCTGACTAGAATTTATTATTAATTAATTCTAATTATTGTCTACTTTTCCCAGGTATTACTCTAAAATATCCCCTTTCTTTTAATTAAAATAATTGTTGAAAATCCTTTTTTATAGTTTTTAACTGATAGGTGTTGTAATTATACAGATAGACATAAAAGTTTATAGTTATTTACAGATTAAATCTCTTTCTATACTTATCATTATCTGTACTTAATTGTTTCTGTTTAAAGGATTTATGATTAACAGAAATTTACTGGTTTTCGGTTCTTTCAAGAATGCATTTTATCTCAATTTTCTATCGATAGAAGTTTAGATGATCATTCTAATAATACAATTTTTATGATTATATTATTACATTAATTATTTATAAAATTTAAAAAAAGGAAAAAGATGCAATCTAATCCGTTTTCACACACGAGCTAAAAAACTCTCATTTTTAACCCGACCCAACCCACTAATTATTACCTCTGGTAATATAATTATAATATAAAACCACAAGAGTGGTGCATGATTGGTTTGAGATTGGCTCCAAAGGTCAAAAGTACTAGAAGATCCCAGGTTCAAATACAAGGAGGAATAAAAATCCTCTTGTGGTCACGGATGTTCAAATGCGGTTACTCCGGGCTATCTGCAAAGTATGTGGTCGCCTTGGGATTAGTCGGCTCACATAGCGGGTTGGATATCCATGTTAATAAAAAATAATAATTATAATATAATATTTAATGTTCATTAAGTAATTGTAACATCTTAGATGAATCTCATATCGTAGAAGAACAAGGAGGATGTTGGGTACGCTTGATGAGCGCTTCATGTATTTCTATAGCAAAATTTGTAATAACTTGTCCTTACGTAGTTAGAGAGTGAATTTTTGAGCTGTTGTAGGCCTTAAGTTGCAGGTTATCAATAACTTTTACTAGGTTTATTTTTAAATTGAGCTAAAAGTTTACTAAGTTAGTTTATTGCGTTTTGATCAGCTTGTGACGTTACAAATGGTTACGGAGCTAATCTTTGTTCCATCAAGATGGTGGGGGTAAACCTAATCGAGTAGGATGAGTATTTGATAGGGGTATTTGTAGTATTGTAGATGAATCTCACATGAGTCAATCGTCGGTTAACAAAGTTGAATAAGCCTGATAAGGCCGTTAAGATATTTTAACTGGGGGAGTTGATGACAATTCAACTGGGATTAGATAAAAAGTGAAACTTGTGAGCTTCTTATAAGCCTTAACTTACTGGCTATCAATAAGTTTCACCATATTTTTATATTGAGTTAGGGCCTGTTTGTTTTTTAAAATTTGTCTCTTAATTTCCTCTTATGTCTGAATCGGTCAGACATATAGACTTTCAGATCGTTTGTTTTTTTCCCAAAATTAAGAGCTGAATTCATAAGGTTTCCTTTGAATTTTTAAGTGGTAACCCTAGCTCTTAATACCTCTTATTTGTTTATCCRCCTCCTTACGTCGCTCTCATCCGCCTCCTTTACGTCGCTCTCATCCGCTCTCGTCCCATTCATCGATTGAAGCTGGTGTTCTTCATACATCGCAGATTCAAGCTGGTGTTCTGGTAATCTTCTCGATCTCTCTTTGGTTTCAGATTTCAGATTTCAGACGTAAAATCAAACAATCTGACTGATTCAGATTTCAGACTTCAGCACCATCTCTTAAAATTCACAAGTGAATTCAGACTTCAGACTTCAGCACCTCTTAAAAAACAAACGTCACCTTAGTCTATTTGAGCTTCGTGCATTACGATAATACATGTTTTCAGTATTTAATAAAGTTCATTCTTTTATTCATTATTTATCAGTTCTAATCAAGCATTCATCAATACAAAGGGTTACTCTAACGACTTTATGAACTATTTGGTCTTAACCGAATGAGACCCTCTTTAGGCTTCCTAAGCCTAAGAAAGTGGCGTTGTGAGACAACATTGTGACACATTCAATTTTTTGGGTTACAAATAGGAGTAGTAAGTTTAACATTAAGGGTGCGTTTGATGTCCAGGCAAGACAAGACAGTGCAAGACGGAACAAGACAGGACATGACAGGATAGAACAACTGTTCAACGATTGGTAAGATAAAACTGTACATAACAGAACAAGTAAAATGACCAGTTTACCCCTAATGACTTGTTTATTTTAATTAATTTATGTAATTTATTAAATTATAATAGAATAATTAATTTTTGTAACAGAATATATCATTTGAAGTTTTCATCAAAACAATTAAAATGACACCAAATAAAAAGTTTATGTAGCTTCCAATTTTTATTTTTATCTCTTTTCTATATCATTTTTGTTAATATTAACTAGAAGCGTACTCGCGCAATGCAGCGAGATATATCGTGATTTTAATATTTCATTTTATTCTTTATCTCGGTCGATGTTATAATATGGCTTTATGTGATTTTTAGAAAGCGATGATGTTTTTATTTTTGAATAAAATATATGTTTGAAGATATCATAAAATTTTGACAAAAATATATCAATATTAGTATCAAATTATATTTGAAATTCCTTATTTCTTTGTGTAATTTTTTTATTCAATTTTTTTTATAATTTAATTTATATACAATAACGAAGTAATTTATATTTG